CTGGACCATCCGTCCTCCCTTGGAACGGCTGATCTCCATTTTCTAGTGCACACGGGGCTGTCCTGGATTCCCTCAGTTAACTAAGTCTAACTGAAACTGCAGGGAAAATTTTAGGCTGGTGGGAAAGTACATAGGAGAGGTGTATCTGGGGCAGTGTAAATTTGGGGGGGCCTTATAACAAGGCTCCTGATTTGATTGGCTTATCTTTGAGCCTTAAGTCTTGTTTTCAGTTGTTTTTAAACAGAGCTTTCCTTATTCAAGTGTACCTTTTGGATTTATTGGGCCCAAGAGAGCATTCTCCTTGTTTATTGAACAGGCTTGAGAGTTACAGAGCCACGAGCACTTGGGCCTGATGGCCTCATAATGCCTTGGAGAGGGGAAGAGGGATAAATCATTTGTCAAAATAAAAGGTGGGGTGGGAGTCGTCCTCCCTTCTCATGTTCTCCACACTCCTGACTGCTTTGATGAAGACACTTGAGAGGAAACAAAGTACTTTTCATGGGAGCAGCTCCCTCCCCTCCCACAAGGACTTTGTCTGTTTGCTAGGAGCAATTGCTTTGAAAAATGGCTGTCAACAGCCAGTCTCTTCTGACACCAGGGGTAGTTTGCAAGGCTGGTGCGTGACTACCTTGGGTAATCCTTCCCCCAACTAGGAAACTAGGCCTGATGTCATTTAGAGCACTGCCACTTTCTAGGATACATCACAGCTGTAATTTATGGTTGTAGGCCCTGATCCTGTAGAGAGGAGCCCCCCCCCCCACACACACAGTCCCACTGAGTCCAATGCGATGCCATACTTAGTATAAACACAGGCACTGGCCCTATGGGTTCTCCAGGGTTGGAGCACTCATGGGGAAAAATTAGTGTGTGTGGAGCAGCGTTCCTGTAAGCCGATCACTTGGGTGGCCACCCAGGAAAGATTCAAATGCTGCCCAGCTGATTAGCAGAGCCGCAGCAGCTTGTGTTTCTATTAGTGGTGCACACGGCACATACCTCAGTGCACAGAACAAAATTTATTCCATACCTGGATGGAAAAAAATCAGATAGAGCCCTAGCACGGAGCACCCACTGATGTCAAGCTCCCTCCCCTACCTCCGTACCTCTCGCATGCTTAGCATCTTCTCCCCTTTCCTCCTAGCACTTCTGAAGCGCCACAAAAGGCTGATTTGTGGCATTCAGGCTCTGGGAAGGAAGGGGGAGTTGGGAAAAGGGATGGCTGGCTCAGGATGGGGGCTTGGAGGAAGGGTTGAAATAAGGGCGCAGCCTGGAACAGAGGGAGTGGGTCAAGCACCCCCTGGCAAAATGAGAAGCTGGCACCAATGAGCGTAAGGGACCTTTTTACAGGATTAGAGCCATGACATGGGGAGGGCCTTGCCTCCTGACTAGTAGCTGCTGTGACCCCTGCCGTGTTCTTGCTGTGTCAGAACTGACCTAAGGCTTCAGCCTCACTCAGTAGATTAGACTAAGCTCGTGGGCCCACTGGGAGGCTGAGCTGTGTTCTCATTGGGCGTTTCCCGTGGCCCTCTTCGGATGGCGTTGGAAACGGTTGTCCCACAGCCGGGGTGGCGAAGCCTGGCAAACGCCAGGTTCTACCAGAGGCTGTTCCTGCTCGCTGGCAACGGGTGAGGACGCGACGGTCCCTTGGAGTGGTGCAAGAATAGGGGGAGGGGGAGAGGAGCATTTCTCTCATGATGGGAGCCTGTTCAGACGAGCTTTCTGCTGGCACTCCGTGAACTGCTGCTCCGGAGCCCGCCTGTGGAATGTGCGAGGGATGCCTGCTTACCCAGTCATTTGTCTGAGGGAGCTGAAAGAGCCTGCGGGCTTCCAGCTGAGACGGGGAGTGAGAGAGGGATAGACACTAGCGGGAAGGAGAGCAGGCGTGTGAGAGAGATTAACGAAGAAAATATCCTGCGTGGGCTGGGCATCTGGCAGGATATGACACGCAGAGGTAACTCCTTAGTTGGCTTTTGGTGCCAAGCAGTTAGCGCGCTCCCCGGACGCAGTTATCTCCATGTTGGGGGGCTGGAAACGCCACATGTTGGCACTCGCTGTGTTTCCCTTCATTGCCTCGCTGTGGAAAGGAGCAGGGTGGGGTTGGTTTTCTGAGGAGAAGAGGCTGGAGGCACTACCCACTGACAGGGCAGATCTGGGAAGCCACATGCCTCTGTCCCTGCTCCGTGACACAGTGGGGATGGAGCTGTGCTCACATGGATTGCCCCAGTGGCTGTTATCCGACAGGGAGAGTTTCAGAGCACATAGGGTGACATGGAGAGATTTTTCCCCTGCCCACACAGTTCTCCGAGAGACTTCTGCAGAGCTGTGGAGAGAGGGTAAATACTGGCTAGATAACACAGAGATTTCCATACATGCTCTGGCTCATCAGCACTCAGAGGATGGTCTGGCTCTTGGAAATGACTTTCTGTTCATTAGACAGGGGCCTGATAAAAACAAAGCAATTAATAAACAATGAGTGGCAGAAGGCGGCTGTAGAAACTCCCACCCATTGGGTATGTCTAAACTACATGGCTCCGTCGACGGAGCCATGTAGTTTAGACATACCCAATGGGTGGGAGTTTCTACAGCCGCCTTCTGCCACTCATTGTTTATTAATTGCTTTGTTTTTATCAGGCCCCTGTCTAATGAACAGAAAGTCATTTCCAAGAGCCAGACCATCCTCTGAGTGCTGATGAGCCAGAGCATGTATGGAAATCTCTGTGTTATCTAGCCAGTATTTACCCTCTCTCCACAGCTCTGCAGAAGTCTCTCGGAGAACTGTGTGGGCAGGGGAAAAATCTCTCCATGTCACCCTATGTGCTCTGAAACTCTCCCTGTCGGATAACAGCCACTGGGGCAATCCATGTGAGCACAGCTCCATTGAAGCCACGATTATTTAAATCACGGCTTCATTTCCCTTTGCCGATCAGCCTAATCTACATGGCTCCATCAATGGAGCCATGTAGTTTAGACACACCCGTAGTGCTTGGCAAGTCGTGTGCAGCTGGTTTTTGGGCAGAAGGAGGCAATAGCTTTAGAGCAAACAGCAACTGTGCATGACGGTTCAAGAGAGAGGAGCAATGGTGTTTTCAGATTTCATCTGGCGGATGGCACCTGTCGCTCACCCCTCTTTTCTGCTGCCCTAATGCTATCCTAGGGTATTGATTCAGCACTGAAGTGCAGTCCTGGACAGGGATTCAGAAGATCTGGTTTACTCCTGGCAGTCATGCTGACCTGCTTTGTAACCTCAATCAAAGAATACTCTGGCACAACCCACATGAAAATTCCTGATTGTTTGTCAGTCTCTAAAGGTAGGTCTATACTGCACACTTATTTTGAAACAAGCTATTCTGGAATAGTTATTCCGAAATAGTTTATTTCAAAATAGCACGTCTACACTGCAGGGAAGCCTGAAAATCAGTCCGAAGCAGACTTCCCTAATGTAGACATGCTGGCTACGTCTACATTGGCCCCTTCTCTGGAAGAGGCATGTTAATTTCCAACTTCAGAATAGGGAAATCCGCAGGGGATTTAAATATCCCCCGCGGGATTTAAATAAACATGGCCGCCGCTTTTTTTCCGGCTTGGGGAAAAGCCAGAAAAAAGCGTCTAGACTGGCGCGATCCTCCGGAATAAAGCCCTTTTCCAGAGGATCTCTTATTCCTACTTCAATGTAGACGTAGCCGCTATCTCGCTTTAGAGCCCCAGAAGGCATTGGGGAGGATTAACTTATAATGGAGATGGAGCATTGGTTTGATCTAGGGATGTAAGCAACTAGTTGACTAGTCACTTCCCCCCCACACTTTGCTGAGAGAGGCAGCAAGGGTGGGGGAGCAGGAGCTGGTGCTGGGGGGAGCAGGCTTAAAAGTCGGTTCCCCCCAGCACCATCTCCGAGGGGGAGTACGGGAGGCAGAGGAGTAGCAGGGGACTGGGCAAGCTGGGAATCAGCTGATTTCCAGCTCGCACCCATGGACTGCACTTCTGCTTTTCAAATGTATTAAGAACCTGGTGGCTCTTAATACATTTAAAAGGCAGAGCGGCAGCAGGGTTAGCTCCCAGGGCTGGGAGTTAACTCTGCTGCGCTCCACAGTTTCCCCCACTTATTGACTAATTGAAATTCCATTGACTAGTTGATTAAATGCAATTTAACATCCCTAGTTTGCTCCAAGGTAGCAAAGTCTGTGCTAGTACTGGTTTCTGCTCCCCAGGAGTGTTAAAGTTCTTTGAGAAGGGAAGGACTGTGACTCAGGCTATGTCTAGACTGCAAAGATACCATGTTTTAGTGCATATAACAAAGTTTTACAAACCCCGCAGCCCCCCCATGGGGTATACATATCCACGGGGTATACAAGTTTATTTTTACTTGCCTGGGTGTGAGCGCTTGTCTGCGCTCTCTGTTCCCCCCCTTCTGGAGGCGGGTGGGTTTCATCTGGCCACGGCTGTGCAGAGCTTGGACGCGAGCGCGGCTCCCCTCCTGCAGTCCGGCCAGCAATTACCAGGTACCTTACAGTAGCGTATATAACCCGAGGGCTATACACATGCGCGGGTTATCTTATACTTTTTTTATACATTTAGGAAAAACCGCAGATTATGCACGGGTTATACATGGGTGTGGACTATATATGCTAATTTATGATAATTCGGACAAAGATACGCAAATTGCAAACCACAATTTGCATATCTTTTTCCACGTTTCTGTCGAAAGAGGCGTTTCCGAAATTTGGCGGATCTACACAGTGCCAAATTTCGGAATAATCTGCTCTTTCGACACATCCCTTCTTCTTCATAGAACAAGGTTTACAGGGATGGTGAACTCGCAAATTTTCCTGAAAAAATGGACACGTTCTTTGGATGCAGCATTGGTTTTCCAGGATACCTCCAGAAAAGCGCTGGAGTCTAGACATAGCCTTAGTCTGGCTGTCTCTGTTTCTGCTTGTGTGTAGAGCAGATGTGACTAGCCGCCTCAGTTACTGTGCATATTCTGTTCTTCTCTTACTGCTATTTAGATCTTTGGAAGTCATTGCTGGTCTGGAAAGTAATAGCAAGATCTTCACTGTTTATGTGCATGGATTGCTACAGCTACAGGTAAGGAGGCATGGAAGAGGGTGATAAAACATTCCACACTTATTCGGTACGCTGTGTAGTTGTAGCTATGTCATGGTCCCAGGATGTTAGGGAATCTAGGTGGGTGAGGCCATATCTTTTACTGGACCAACTTCTGTTGGGGTATGTCTACACTACCACCCAAGTTCGAACTAGTGTGGTAATGTAGGCAACTGGAGTTGCAAATGAAGCCCGGCATTTGAATTTCCCGGGCTTCATTTGCATAAAGCCGGGCGCCGCCATTTTTAAATGTCCACTAATGCAGACTCCGTGCTGCGCGGCTACACGCGGCACGGACTAGGCTTCCTAGTCCGAACTACTGTTACTCCTCGTGAAATGAGAAGTAACGGTAGTTCAGACTAGGAAGCCTAGTCCGAAGTACCTAGTCCGTGCCGCGTGTAGCCGTGCGGCACGGAGTCCGCACTAGTGGACATTTAAAAATGGCGGCGCTCGGCTTTATGCAAATGAAGCCTGGGAAATTCAAATCCCAGGCTTCATTTGCAACTCCGGTTGCCTACATTACCACCCTAGTTCGAACTAGGGTGGTAGTGTAGACATACCCTTGGGGAAAAAGACAAGTTTTCGAGCTTACACAGAAAGCACACAGTATGGTGGGATCACAGAGACCCAAATCCACAAAGGAATGAAGATTCCAAGCTTCCTTTGTGGAGCTGGGGCAAGAGTGCTTTATAGGTACAGGTTGTACCTCTATAAACTGGGACTCTCTGGTCTGGCATCAGAGAGTCCCAGCACGCTGAGGGGACGCAGGAATGGGAAGTGTGTGGGGGAGTCTGGCATGCAGCCCAGCTGGGCTGCCACCACTGGGAAGAGGGGCCCAGGAGTCAGGAAGCCTGATGCACAGCTCAGCTGGACTGCAGGAGGCCGGGGGGACCAGGAAGCTTGGTGAAATAGTAGGGCCAGAAATGACATCTGGGAAAATTCCTCATCCGTGACCAGTCAGGTCCTAAGGGTGCTGGACTAAGAAGGCCCAACCTGTATTATAGAATTAAACTTCTCAGCCCAGCTCCATTCCTCTCCCTGCCACCCTCGATGAATTAGGGAAATGTTATTAACTTCATTGTAGGATAAAAGATACCATGAAATTAAATGGTCACTCAGGAAGTCTATGTCAAGGCTAGAAGTGGAGACCTTATCTCCTAGCTCCAAGTTCCCAAATTTAATCACAGAATTAATAAAAACCGTGATACTAATAATAGTGAAAACCTAAAATCTTGATTGTACCATCTCACAGTGCTTTACCACTGGGTAAGTAGCATCATCTTAAATTCTTGGAAGGAAACTGAGGCATGGAGCACCACATGCCCAAGGTCACTCACCAGGACAGTGACAGAGTAAGGACTAATCATTTGATTTGTGCTTGACTGCTCTAACCTGTAGACTACATGGTCTTCATACTCTAACAACATCAAGCCAAGAAACATATATAAATAGAATTGAATAGTACCAAGCCAAACACACAATGCTGCAGTGTAAATATTTCATCAGCTCCCTGCTCTCTGAAACCACCATGCACAAGTGCTTTGAGTACAACCTAACAATAGTTTTTGCTGCTTTATGCTTTCCCTTACACCGGGGGGGATCAATAAACAGTATGCAGGTCAGACCTGGTTCACAGAGTTATCTGAGTTCCCGCAGACACGGCCACTCACAGTTCCTATTGGCTGCAGTTCACTGTTCCTAGCCAATGGGAACTGTGGAAAGTGGCATGGACCAGCCCGCCACTTCCCGCAGCTCCTATTGGCTGGGAACAGTGACCTGTGGTCACTGACACCTGCAAGCTGCCATACTTGTGGATGCTCAGGGTAAATAACTGGCAAACTGCGTCCGACCCGTGGGCTGCTTATTGCCCACCCCGTCTTGTACATTGGATAGCAGTTTTAGTTCCCTTCCCTCCCCCTTTTGTTTTGAACCTACAGGCTGGACAATACACTTCAATATTTGTGGACAACAGCGCAGGAGCTTCCATCACAATTCAGAATGGATCGGATTTCATGGGCATGTTTATGGGCATCTAACCTGGATGTCGACCACAGGTTGGGTGGGGAAGGACATGACTCCAGGAGCCTTGCAACACACACTTGACTGAAGAAACCTTTACTTTGACCCTAGAGGACTGCTCCCTGTTAGCCATTGGCATTTCTAATACAGTGAAATAAAGAGCGTTTCCTTCCACCGACACTCAACTTGCTTTTCAGAGGTTGCTGCTGTTAAATGTCTACATCAGTTCTGCCTACAAATATACTTTAAATAATAATAATAATTAAAAAAAGAACTGTATATTATTTAAATTGTCTGTGCTTCACCAAAAGTTCACAGCACAATATACCAAGGTCTGAAAAGTGTTACGTAATAACTATCTGCATAACACAATAGAGCTTGCATCCAGCATGTCTTGGGAATTGATGGGTTTGCTTTGAGTTTCTTTGCAGACTAGCTAACAAAAAGATGGATTCTTTGTATTTGGGAGGAAGAAGATAGGGATTTGCCAGCAAACTCTGCTAATATCATGCTTTGGACAAGCTGAAACCCCCCATCTTCCCTCCCGACTCTTGGATGACTGGTACACAGCGTGCTGACTGCTTTAACTATCATCAAACTCAAGCATTTCCCACTGTAATTCTGGGGGCCCAAGGACTTAAGCAGAATTGTTACTTTGTGTCCAAGTCGTTCCGTAATCTCTTGACGAAGCTGAACATTTTGTGTTGGCTGCAGGATGACTTTTTAGGGCAAGACAAACAAGCAAGGGCAACAGTTCTAGCCAATTCCCTGCTTCCTTATATTCTTATGTTTTAGTAAGAGATATATGTATATTTTTAGTCACATCCATAGATGCAGCATCGCTGGGACACCATATATTAAGTTGTAAACATGTCAGGTACACAGTGCTAGTTGCCAACAGAGCTGGAAAAGGCTGGGGATCAGAGGCCCAGACTGACCATGTGAAAGCTGTCATTTCATTTGGTGCTAATTAGATGGTGTAATTGATGAAAATGCATGATTGATAACAGGGAGTGCCACTCTCCAAGCTAATGCAAGCACCATTTAGGACTCAGCTAAGTCCTGTTTCAGAGGTCTTGTGAATCTCCCCCGGAAGGCACCGAATGAGCAGCTCACAGGATCAGTGCTTGTCCAGACTCTAGTTTGCACAGGTTGGTGTCTTAATAGGACCTGTAACTCCCAAATTCAGGCATTCTCTGTTGCTAAGGTGTGAAGTCCTGATGCTTCTGAAGTCAATGGGAGTTTTGACTTCAACGGGGTCAGGATTTTCACCCATGAATGTGGAGATGCAGAGTCCCTGTGGCCCAAAAAAGCAAATTTGTTGCACCTGGGTGTTGGTTCCAGGTTCAATAGGTGGGATTTAGTTAATGCAACCCCGGCAGAGAAATGGCGCAGTCAGATAACTCTAAAGAGACATTGGCAAGGTAAAAAAGAGGCTTGATGATCCTTTTAACATTGATCTCAGCAGATGAGAAAATAAAGAAGAAAGATTCCAAATCCCTTGTTTTGGGGTGTTGTATTTTTCTAATCAACCACTCTTCTCCCCAGGCCATGAATGCAAAGAACCAAAGGATCCCATTTTTATGGCCCCAGCAGAAATACAGTCAACTCTTCCCTCTGCTGTTTCTATGGAAGGAGAAAACCAATGTTTCTCCACGCTCCAGTGAGGCTGGAGCATACAGAAGATTTATTTACTACGCTGTGGGGAAAGTTGCTGTACAACAGAAATTGATTCTTTTGTATCAGTTACTTCTAAACCCAGGGGCTGTGTCTAGACTACATGGCTCTGATGACGGAGCCATGTAGATTAGACAGATAGGCAAAGGCAAATGAAGCCGCTATTTAAATGATCGCGGCTTCATTTACATTTACATGGCTGCCGCGCAGAGCTGACAAACAGCTGATCAGCTGTTTGTCCGCTCAGCGTGCTAGTCTGGACGCTCCCCTGCCGACATCAAAGCCCTTTGTTGGCAGCCCCGGTAAACCTCATCCCACGAGGAATAACGGGGCTGCTGACAAAGGGC